TAAAAAAAAATTAAAAAAAAATGAAAAATTACTCATAAAAAAGGTAGTTATTGAAGAATAAATAAAAGATAAAATGATTCATGTAAAAATGAAAACAAAAAGTAGTTATTAAAAGTAACATCCCCTTTATACATTAGTATTAGTATAAATTTATTAGTTTTAAATTCTTAAATTTGATTAAAAAATTTTTTTTAAATTTTTTAAAATAAAAGAGTATAATGGTCTAAAAAAGTAAAGATTAAAGTAATTACCAAAAAAGGTATCTGCTTTATATATTAGTATAGATTAATTAAATTTTTCATGAAAATTAATAACTACTAAAACTGGTGATACTCAATATAACATAATAAATAAATAAAAAATATATTAAGTGATGATGAATAATGCATTTTCTCGTTTTAATTAAATTATTAGTATATGTTTATAAAATTTATATTTTGCACATCTTAATTTTATATATTGAATTTACCAATAATTACTTTAGATGTTTATGTTTTATTTTTTTTTTATATATATGATGATAATGATGATTTTTTATTTAAAAAAGTAATCATTTTCACTAACCTATGATATTGAATCTGTCACTGCATTTATATACATGATAAGGAGAAAAATACATAATAAATGATTAAGTTTTTTTTAGAAGGAATGTTTAAGTTATTGAACAACTTTTTTATTTTGTTTATTGTTTAATAAATAATAAATTAAATAAATAAATTAATATTATATTTATTATAATATCATTTTCAATAATAATTATATAATAAGTTATGTAGTAATGATTATAATGACAATATGAAAATAACTTGACAGTGAGCAACAATAGCAATAGTGGTGGATTGTGTTAATAGTAGTGTTTGACTATAATAGTGATGGTATTGGACAATAATGATAAAAGTCAAAGTGATGCTGACAACTCAAAAATTATACAATTTATTAAAAAAAATTAAACTTTTATCTTTTCTTTCATTAATTTTTTTTTCATATCCTATGATCATTAATGTAGAACAATTTTTATTTTTCTTATTCAATATGATGATTTTTGACAAATCAAATGGTCTTTAATTTTTTTTTTTTAAGTAACTTTGTCTTAAAATTTATTTTAAAATAAAAATTTTAATATATGAGTTATGGGGTGATTAATTTTTTTATTATCATGTATATTAATATTTTTATTCAGGGTTTCTTTCCTTAATCACCACGTTTTGTCGCTTACAATGTTCCTCAAATTTAAAATCTTACCTATAGAGTTGGAATCTACTTAAACTAGATACTTTACTTAAATATAATAAAGAAAAATATTTTAAATAAATAAAACTAAATCAAGGTCATGTATGCAATGGTATCACATGAATACGACTATATTAAATAGTTATTATATGGCCTCAAATAATCTTTTTACACGTCATGCACCGATAGTTATTAATTATTTCTTATAAATTTAAATTTTTTAACTATATGCCATGTATAGATTCGCCTGCACTATTAACATGTATGATAATCTAAATAACTTATCTTTATTATTTTACGATTAGTTTGAATAGTTTTTTATTTATAGATTTATGATTTATTTAGGTATTTTTAATTTAATTATATTATTTAAATATTATTTTGTTGTTATGGTGATTGTTTTAAAGTTTTGAGAGTTTAAGAATCATAAGAGTTAGGTTGTCTTAGATATAACCTAATATTTATTATACCAGTTCAGTTAAGAAATGATGTATAAAGTTTTTTTTTTTTAAATATGAACCTCAAAAGTTCATGTTTTAATAAATTTTAGAGAGGAGTTAGTGATAAATTATCGGAAGCTCAAGTCTTCTTCTCCATTTTTTAGACTGAAATTATTCTTCTTTTTTTTTTCTTCCTTGTAACTGAATCATTTGTCTAAGTTGAAAATTCGAACTCTTAAAGTTAAAAACCTCAAGTCAAAGTCGTGTTGTTCTTCCTTCTTTTCTCCTTTCCTCAATTTAGATCAACTAGAGATAAGGGAAGCTTTGTGTTTGATTCATTGTAGATGCATGTTGATTGTTGATGGTTAGAATCATTTAATTATAGTTGAATGGAGATTGAATCCATGAGATGATGATTTATGAGTTGTGGGTTTTCTTGAAGTTTGTTTAAGAGTTGAACATGGTGATCATTGTGAAATTTTGGTTGCATGTTGATTTTGGGGTTATCTTTGAGTCTTATAAGCTGAATGTATGTGGTATATCTTGTTGTATGTTGAATTTTGTTGAGTTTCAAGTGGATTGGGCAAATTGAGTCTCTACATAAGTGCAAAAGCTAGCATTGCACCGAACGCACCTTTATGGTGCTAGACTTGGTTTGAAGTTTGAGGTTATCAATCTCTTGATGTTAGGCACAAGATTAGTGGTGTCAAGTGTGAGGAAAGAGATTTGTCTCCGACTTTGCCAAACTAGACGTGAGTTTGAATGGCGCCGAATGTGTGGAGAAATAATCATTTCTACCTAGATTGACGTTAGGGTGCTAATAAAGCGACATCGACGTGAATTAGGCAGAGCCCCTCCCCTTATTTGGGGTTTGGCATGGGTTTTGTCATGTTAGGAGCGATAGATTAAGAGACTGTCTACCTCAATCATATGTTGGCATAAGTAGTTTGACATCAAACATGGGAAGATAAAAAGTTTTCTGTCTTAATGGCGCCAAGCGCCTAGGAGATGGCATCAAGTGTGAGTTATATTATTAAAACATGATGGTTTGAGTTGATTAAATGGTTAAAGGATGATGATTTGTTCACATGATGAATGTCGTGTGTAAATGGTTCATCATGCATTGAATTGAGATATTGTATAGCAATGATTATGTTGTTAAGTTATAAGTTGATTGGTGATTAAGTTGAGAAGTTGTATAATGTTATAGTTGATTAAATTGTTAAGCTGTTAGACATGTGATATAAATACATGTATGTGTCAAGATATATAAAAACTAGAGGGAATTAAAATATGTTTTATAAATAAAAATATCTTATGCATGAATATAAGTTGTGGTACTTTGAGAGTTTAGTTGATAACTCTTTAATAAGTAAGTTTACTTTTGAATGAATAATTGTTTTGAGTTATCTCTTCTAAATTTTACATGAAATTCATATGTGGAGAACGTCGAGACATATGTATATAAAACGACCAACTAAGTAAGGTACAAGGTTGGAGTTTTATTTCCCTAAGGGCGTAGTATTTAGAGAGTAGTTGGTGGGTTGATCCCATAAAAGACTTAGTGTTACAAGTTAATGTCGTGGTAGACTTATACTCAAGTTGTTATACCTTGACAGTAGTACTAAACTTCGTAGTCTAAGTAACAAAATCTGATAAATCAAATTTTAACTTGTATAACTCGAACTCTAAGGCCTAAGGTTATTTATATTTAACCTTGTTGTAATAGGTCAAACACTATAATTTTGTAGGGTCTAACCACTTAAATTATTCACTTTTGTTGTACGAGATATTTGTAGACCGATATGCATGACAACACATTAATTGTATATTGTTGTTGTGTTGAATGTGTTGCTAAGATAAAATTTTAAGTTGTTTTATGTTGCAAGTTATATGTCTTGTATTGTTGATAAATTAGAAGTTGTATTGTTAAATTGCATGGAGTATTTATTAAGTTGACTATGTTGTATCGTTGTAAGTTGTTAGTTGCAACTATTATATTGATTTTCTTTCACAAATTTACTTTTTTTTTTCATTGTGGTTGAAATTGTAATAATCATGTTTTCTATGAAAGTAGAGCATAATTAGTAGGTTGTGCTTAGATGATTGGTGCCAAGTTATGTTGGTAATGACTCTTTTGTGTTGTTGCTACTCTGATGTAATATATTGTGTTTAGATACTTAATTGACAAATATGATTTATTTTGTATATAATTATATATATGCTGTAAATTATATATGTGTATGAGGTATGTATATATTCTCTTAAAGGAATTATGATTTCATCATTTTATTTTTTGCCATATACATGGACAGATTACATGTGTTACATGAGAACTTTAGATTACTAATATGTTATTTAATCTTTTTAATACACGGTGACTAAACTATATTAAATGTAATAACCTGTCATATCATTACATCTAATTCAAAATTTTAATATGCAACAATCTTAAATAATTAAAAAATATTTTTAGCATTTTTCATATTTTTAGTTAACTCAAACATAATTACTTATTATAAAAGATACAATTTGGTATAAAAATAAATAACTAAATAATATATGTTTTATTTATTTTAAGGTTAGATAAAATCAATTATAGACTATTAAATATAAATATAACATGTTTTTCAAACCAAAAAAAGAAAACTCGATCATAAGTTTTCATTAAAACATATACTACTTTGTATTAAAAAAAACACTAGAATTATTTTTCTAAAAAAAACACTATAATTAATTTTTCCAAACAAAAAGGAGACTTAATCAAGTCATGGAGGGAGGTTAAATAATTAAGGAAATTGCTATGGTACCCATGAAAATTGAAAGGTTTTGGTACATCAAATTATGTGAACAAATAAATTTTAAAAAATAGATTCAAAATAACATAAATTTTAGATTAAAAATTTGTATAAGATGAATCAATCAAAAAGACTAATTAAAAAAATAATTAAAAGGTCAATTTTCATGACAAATTTTGTTTATATATGATAAAATTAAAAAATTAAAAACAAAAAATTATAATAATACTATAAAAATATTAAAATAAAAAAACAAATAATACAATTGAAAAACTAATTTATTTTTAATTATAATAGATGCTACATTAAGATATAAATAAAAAAATATAAAAATAATATAAAGATATAAAAAAAATTATACAGATAAATTATTAAAATATTAAATAAAAATAAAAATAAAATAAGTAATTACAATAAAAAAATAAAAATAAAATGACTCTTCGGTACCCCACAGATAGTGCGTACGTAGAATTTCTCAATAATTAAAGTAATGCATTATAGAAGTTGAACTTCCCGCTATAATCCGCGTCGGCGTTATACACTAACTGTAGAGCCCTGTCCATCCAATAGCAACTTAGCACCAACGAACCGATGCTCCTATAAGTAATTCTGGCGCGAAAGAATTTTCTGAAAATTGAAACGAGGCAACAATGGAAGACGACGGTGGAGAGAGTTCGAGCTTCGTGGTCGCCATCATCGAAAACAGAGCGAAAGAGGTTTCGAACTTCGATTATCTCATAAAGTTCCTTTCCATTTTCCACATAATAAAGTAATATTCAGTTGCACGTTTTCCTCTTTTTTCTTCAATTCCTTTTTCGCTTTCACTTTTGCATCAATTTTCTAATCGATCTTGCACGCTGTCAAGGCATTTCTCCTAGTCACTTTCAATTATTTATATTTCTCGTAGTTGATTGCTCGAAACTCGCATAACTTCCAGGATTATTGCTGCGGTTTTGATTGTTCTTGTTAACCTATTATACTCGGTAGTATAGGTATGGTTTTTCAACTTCCAACGCTACTGACTGCAGCTTAGGAACCGGAAATTAGTTTCATATCCACGTATTTAGTTGTTTCGTGAAGGAGATGTGTATTTGTATTACGGAGGTTGGTTTTAATTCTATAAGAATGTATAAAATGCGTTTTAAACTTTTAATTTTATATATTCTGATAATGTTTTAATCTTCTATCGCTAATTCTTACCGGTTGTTCTGGACTATCTGTAAACAGCGAAGATTCCATGTACCATTTAGTGTTCAAATTTTTCGTGACTAAAGCTACACGCCATTTTAATTATTCTATCGTAAAGCTAACTCAAGGAATAGCTATATTTGCTACTTATGGTGCATATTTTAGTGTTTTCCTCATTTTTTTTTTGGTCCTTCGGCCATTTATTTGGTCCTCCTCCAGCCATTTATTTGGTGATACTTATACATATCTAGTTTTTTTTACCGGGTTTGTACTTTGTAGTAGGCCTGAGCATCGGTCGGCCACGGTCGGTTTCGGACCAAAATTCCTAAAATCATCCGAAACCGATTAAGAAAAATCAGGGGCCATTTCCGACCGACGAAGAACTCAGATTTTGGCGGGTTCAATCCGTGCGGGTTACGGGTTCATCGGATGGATTTATCGGTTTGAGAAGCTTCCTCGTCGCCATCCGTCGCCATTCTTTGCCGGTCTCTGTCGCTGCTTCATTTGGGGGAAATCACGGAGTTTCAGCGCATCACCACCTTCATCAACCAGAACAGGAAGTTTCTCAGCAGCGGTAGCCATGGAAGAAGAAGAAAGAAGCAGAAGAAAGAAGACGAAGTGAAGAAGAAGAATAAAGAAGACAGTGTGAAGAAGAAGAAGAAAGAAGCAGAAGAAAGAAGATGGAGTGAAAAAGAAGAAGAAAGAAGACGGGACGAAGAAGAAGAAGAAAGAAGACGAAGTAAAAATGGAGAAAATAAACGGTGAAGACGAAGGTGAAGAAGAAGAAGATAAACGGTCGGATTCGGGTACATCGGATGAGAAAATTCCAACACCGAATCCGACCGTTCAAAACCGTTTGAACCCGAAATTTGCTTCAAAAAAAATCCGATATACCTAAGAATCAATCCGCCTCACCCAATCTGATCATCGGTTTGGCCGGTTTCGGATCGGCCGGAAATTTTTGCACAGGCCTACTTTGTAGTAATCTTCCAATCAATCACTTACTCCATGCAGTGCTTCCCCTATTATAATCTTCTAATATTTTTAACATCACAAAAAAATTTGAATTGCACATGGTATTTGATTTTGGAAAAGATACCCAATGCATCTATTATTACTAACATGATCCTAAACTTGAACGAGTAATATTGTAAACTCTACTGTAAAAACATGTCTTCCGTTAATTTATGACCATTATAAAGGAACTTTTGGTTGTTAGGATTTTTGTAGTGTGCTGAGGAATATCATAGATGTTAAAAAAGAATCAGACAATGGAGAATTATGCTGTATTATGTATCACTAACAGGGACACACTGGTCGAAGTTCCCTTGTATATTTTTTGTCACGGGTAAGAGTGGATTAAAACAATTTTGATAGAGTTTTTTTAATGATCTTTTCTGACAGATTAAGATTGGGTTTCAGAAAAATAAATGCAATTTATAATGGCTAACTGGAATCAAATCAATCAATCATCTAACAGGTTGGATTAGCTGCTATTGATTTGAGGTCAGCTTCATTGCATCTCTCTCAATATATTGAAACTAGCAGTTCATATCAAAACACAAAAACGCTACTGCATTTCTATGATCCCATTGTGATCATTATTCCTCCAAACAAGTTAGCATCTAATTCCACGGCTGCAGTTACAGAATTGGTTGATAGATTTTATGGTTCGGTCAAGAAGGTAATATCACCATCCCTTTGTCCCTACATCCTTTCCCACATGCTTTAAATGAAAAACTTCTGTGCATGATGCCTGTCTGCAAAGTTCATTTTACTTGGAATCCTTATTTATGCAGGTAGTGCTGGCCCGTGGTTGTTTTGATGACACAAAGGTTTCATTACATACCTTTTTGTCTTTCAGTTGATTTCAGGATTTAGGACGTTGTAACGATTTCCCCCCACATATATGCACTAAGTTTTGTGCTTTAGGGTGCTATCTTAATAAAAAACCTTGCTGCCAAGGAACCTTCAGCACTTGGTTTGGACACTTATTATAAGCAGTATTATCTCTGCCTGGCTGCTGCTGCTGCCACTTTAAAGTGGTATTTCCGATACTCAATTTTCATAAAGTTTATCTTGAATGTTGAACATGATTTATTGCTGTTCAGAATTTGATACAATTAAGAGTCGATTGTATCTCTTTGATTGTCCTCAACAAGGAGAAATAAAATCTTCTCTAAGGCTTTGGTATATATGAACTTTCTTTAGGAGTTTGGTAGTGATTTTCTAAGGCTTGCTATGGTATTGTTCTTTTAAGGTATTAATATTATGAAATAAACATGTCTCATTGTGATAATGTGAAGTAATTCTCAACTCTTAATAGTGTAGGACACATCTAGCTTTTATTGTGAAACTATTTTGACCTGTACCTCCCGATTGTCGGGGAGTTTTTATAGTAGGGAGCACTCCACACAATGGGTAGTGAGTAAGTCACACTAATGAGCTTGACACCACAACATAACCTAAAACCTTAAAGTATTAGGTAGGTGGGTCTTTCTCACTTATATATTACTCAACATGTCCAACTCTAACCAATGTGAAACTTCACTTCATACTTGAATTCCAACACCGATTTGTAAAAACAGAATAATGTTGTTTGAAGAAATAAAATTTTTACTGCTCCAAATCTTTTTTAGATTAGATGTTTTTTAGGTTATGAAGATTAACATGTGTTATTTGTGTGTATCTATACTTTTTTGATGAGTGCTTACATGTATCTTTGTATATTTAATCCTTATTTTTGTACTGTTCAATTGCCTGCAATTAAGTTTTGATTGTGCTTGCACAGGACGGAATCAGAAAAAGGGGTTGTTGTTACCAATCACTCATTGTCGGTATGTGTTCTATCAGGCACAATCATTCCTGAATTAATTTTTTAAAAGTTTAATTAACTAAATACTAATTTTAAATCCATATTATTTTGCTTAATTTATCATCGGCATTC